GAACTCACATGCTGTAGCAACCAGGAGGTCTTTATACCTAGCCAAAAATGACAAAATCCGGATTAGGGTGAAATGTAAAAGTGTTGTAAGTAAGCCTTCTAAAGTAGTTGGTGGTGGTGGGCCCGCAACTAGAAGTAGGGCAAAATGCAAGGGTAAAGATGTAATTGCCAATAAAGGTACATGTCCATGGGCAGTCCAAATATCGATGGCTAATGAAAATCAAGATTGGTTGGTGAAAACAGTACTGGATGAGCATAAATGTTTTCAAACAAGGGCGGTTAAAGCTTGCACTTCCATATATGTAGCAAACTTAATTGTTCAACAAACATAGAGTAACCCTAAAATTACAGTGAAAGCTTTACACGAATAGTTGTGCAAGAAACTGGAAGTAGGTATGTCATTGCAAAAGGTTTCTAGAGCAAAGTCAATGGTTGAGCATATCATTAGTGGGGACTACCAGGTACAGTATGGATTTTTGAGGGATTATGTGTTGGAGCTACTCAACACTAATCCTAGTACAACAGTTCGAATTGATGTGTATCCAGAAACCTCCCTGTCTATTACCACAAGAACTTTTAGAAGAATATATGTCTGTCTAGGTGCATTGAAGCTAGGATTCAAATCTGGGTTAAGAGATTTTCTAAGTCTGGATGGTACTTTCATGAAGGGCCCTTACCCTGGGCAAGTGTTAACTGCTATAGGGTTGGACTCAAACAATGGCATATACCCTGTAGCATATGTAGTGGTAAAGAAAGAATCAACAAGTAGTTGGACCTGGTTCTTGGAACTGTTAGGAGAAGATCTGGATCTGGGACCAAATTCAAACTTTACATTCATTTTAGATAGACAAAAGGTATGTATCACCTAACTTTTTTTATTACCTTTTCTAAATACATTTGGTTAACTAATGTTGCATACATTGACTTTTGTTTAGGGAATAATACCAGCAATGGAGAAGGTATTCCCTAGTGCAGAACAAGGTTCTGTTTGAGGCATATCCAGGAAAACATGAAGAAACAGTGGAAAGGGAAAGACTTAAGTGACCAGCTTTGGGAGTGTGGTAGAGCAACAACAGTCAATCATTTTAACAGAGCAATGGATGAGTTAAAGAAGATCAATGAAGAGGCTCATGCTTGGGTGTGTAAGATCCCAACAAACACTTGGGCTAAATCTCACTTTAGTGGTGAGTTTCTAGAAATTTATTGAGAAATGTTAATCTTCCCTGTTGTGTGTTTACTATATGTGTAATTGTCTTCTCTTAATATCTATTATTCAGGAAGGGCACATATTGATTGTTTGTTGAATAACCTTTGTGAGGTATTCAATTCTAAGCTAGATGAAGGTAGGGATAAACCTATTATCACTTGCTTAGAGTATATTAGAGAGTATCTCATGAAGAGGTTATGTGTGGTGCAAAAGGAAATAGATAAGTGTGAAGGACTTCTAACCCCTACTACAACTACACTGTTTGAAAAGATTAAGACTGATGTAGCAAAGTATGTGACTAAATACAATGGGGCAGGAAAGTACCAAGTGGCAATCACAATGCAAGACCAGTATGTGGTAAACTTGAATGATCATGTAACATCCGAAAAATACACCCAATTTAAATTTTTCAAAACAACCTGATTTTCATTAAAATGTTTACAAAAAGGTTTTCAATACAAGTCATTTGAGTATTCCCAGAATCACATTGCTACAAAATCATGAGGAGCGGTACGATCACGCCTTCGCCTTGCCACAGTCTCCTGAAGAACCTGAAAAACATTAAACCACAACTGTAAGCCCGAAAGCTTAGTGAGATACCCCCAAAATACCAACCACGTATACGCCCTTCCAGGCTACGACCTTCCGGTCCAAAACATATAAAACATACATAACATAACAGAACATAGAACAGCCATGCATATCGGGACTACCGTGTGACTGGTCCGCCGTATCGGGCCTTCAGTCCAACGGATCCATCCTTCGGGTCTAGTCATGTCCTTTGAGTCTATAGTGGGGTTGGTCCGCCCGCATCGGGCCTTCAACCCACCTGGTCCACTCTCTAAGTCTACAGTGTGACTGGTCCGCCCGCATCGGGCCTTCAGTCGGCCTGGTCCACTCTCCGAGCCTCGGCACGTCTGGTCCGCCCTCGTGGGGCCTACAGCCTATCCGGACCGCTCGCTGGGCCTTCGGAACAACCGGTCCGCCCTGGGTATCTTGGCCTACAGCACAAAGCAGGACCCGCCTCAACCCATCTCCAGTCCAAACAACCATGTGCACAAAACATACATTCATATAACAGTCATAGTCAACAAACCGAACAAGCAGATCACATAGCATATCATTACCCTAACCGGATTACCGACCTAACCGGTCACTAGCATAGCATCACTCTGTATATCGGGAAAACTGACCTTAACAAGGCCTCCTAGCATGTACCATCCTAGCTACCAGGATGCAGACACATCAAACAATAACATAATAACCATAACCGAATCTCAATACAATAAAGGGCCGGCCTTGGTGCCTTAGACCCTGTTGATATAGTGAGGATAACTCACCTCGAAACTGCCGGCTGAAAAGATAAGATCCCGCTGCTCCGAACTCTGGCACGAACTCCTCACTAAACATCAAAACATACAACTCAATAAATACCCTTAATTACCAAAATACCCCTGGAAGACAACTGGTCAACCTTGGACGAGTCAAAGTCAACCCCTGACTGACCCTACTCGCCGAGTCATCCCGATGACTCGCCGAGTCCTTATGCTCAGAACTTCCCTCAATTAGCGACCCAACTCGCCGAGTCACCCCAAGACTCGTCGAGTCCAACAACTCTGAGTCCACTCGCACCCAACTCACCGAGTCATCCCTTGACTCGCCGATTCATCGACTCAACCAGAAATATTGGGACTTCCTCGACAAGACTCGCCGAGTCCAAATGGACTCGTCGAGTCCAAGGCCATCTTCAACCTACTCGCCGAGTTGTTCTTCCAACTCGTCGAGTCCCAGGCCATCTTCAAGCAACTCGTCGAGTCCACCCATGTGACTCGTCGAGTACCACCGTTCTGAATCCATACAGAAGCATCTCAGGCCATGCAATTGATCCAAAACATAGATCCAACCTCCTACAATCCATCCATCACGTAAAGTGGCAAACTTTACGTGAATCTAACGAGATCTAAGCCATTTTCACCTTAAAACCAAGGTTTGGGACATGGTGACTTCACTAAGCACACAACACAGGAACTTTAATGCACTCTAGGCCTTCAATATTCCAGATCTGAGGTAGCAACCTCAGATCTATTCTCCAAACTCCAAAACATTCCAAGACATACTCCCCACAAACCCCAAAATGAAACTAGGAATGCACAGCCTAAGGACGAAGATATTACCTCCAAAAGATGCCTCAATAGCAGCCAAACTCGAATCCAAGCAAAGCCCTTTGATCCAAGCCACTTCTCCTTCAAGATCTCTTCAAACAACACCTCTCCAAGCTCTAATTTGCTCCACAAATGATCTCTCCACGTATTTAGGGTTTCTGGAACTCAAGGGGGGAATAAGGGAGGCTGTGGAGGAGTATAATGCTCTTTATATAGGGCTCAACCCCGGAATTTAGGGTTTTCTCCATACAGCACCTACTCGCCGAGTCCATCCCATGGACTCGCCGAGTAGGCCACTTGACACGCGACCATGACCGCGACCTGACTCGCCGAGTCATCCATGGACTCGCCGAGTCATCCTCTAAAACTTACACTTTCAGCCCTTCAACTCTACTCTTGCGATTCCGGGATGTTACAGATCAAAGTTGCAGTTGTAGGTTTTGGGAGATTACAGGTTTCCCATGTAGACATGTTGTTTGTGCTATATGGGACAAAATTGAGAATGGTGAAAATGCCCCCACATGTTGATGAATGGCTCCATCCTTGCTATAGGTTATCAACATGGAAAGACATGTATTTCACAAAATTGATCCATTGAATGGACGTGCAATGTGGCCTAAAAGTGACTACTTATTCACTTTACTTCCACCAAAACATAAGACGGAGGTTTGTATTTCAAGTACACCAAATATATAGTATACATGTGAACATGGAATGAATTCAATTTTAACTATAGTATATCAATATGTGTAGGTTGGGAGGCCTAAGAAGAAGAGAAAGAGGGGTGTTGATGAGCTAAACAGCCAATCTGGTAGATTGAGTCAGAAATATTTGGCAGTCACTTGTTCAAAGTGTCATAACAAAACGCACAATTCCAAAACATGTAAAGGGCAGGGAGGCAGAGGTGAAGTTGGAGGGGGCTGAAAACTATTTTTTAGTAGTTATTAGGATGCTTGTGTTGTAGGTCTTTTGAAACTTAATTCATGTGTACTTGTTTGAATATGTGTTAAGAACCTGAAAACTTTGCATGTAATGCTTGTGTTGTAGGTCTTTTGAAAACTTTGCATCATGGTTGTGTTAAGAACTTTATAACTTTACATATAATGGTGTGTATGCACTTTTTGGTAATGAATTAATATGTTTTGTGTACTACCCTTCACAGATCAATTAATAACATTGTACATTTCAATTGCAAATGAAAACCATCTTAAATATGCATTTACAATACACTTAACAATTGCATTTCAAAAACATTCAAGAAATTGAACAATCAACTATAACAAACTACATTCCATTACCATTACCATTACCATTACCACTCAATTACATATTAATCTGATACATAAACCAAATACAACAACACTTCCAAAACCACCAACATAAACAGAAAACAAAAAAAAAACTCTTATCCGATTAAAATTATAAAATAAAAAAATGAAAAAAAAAAAAAAAAAACCTGCAATGGTTACAAACCAAAAACCAAAACTCCATTACCATCCAAACCTTCACAAGATACTTAGAGATTAAAATAATACCCAAAAAAAAAAAAAAAAAAAAAAAAAAAAAAAAAAAAAAAAAAACACCCATGAACAAAACAACATCAGTTGGTAGTTCCACAATTCTGCACTTGCAATGGCAACCCTCTCTTCCAATCGATTCATTGATCTTATCAAACCTGGAATCACCACCAATGCCCTAGCACACATAGGAGGATCAGACCATCGAAGGAACCCACATCTTCTACAGTTCCAAAATTGTCTTCCAGGGTTACAATCCATCCATGAAGTGATCTTCATTGCTTCATTCCCACATCTGCAAGTCACCATCTTTGAATCAGAAGCGATTGGATGTCGTGAATAGTGCAACGGTCAAGCAACAGTGGAAAGGATGAGAGATGACGACTGATAAAGATAAAGGGTTTGCCCAAAAATCGGACATGCAATTTCTTTTAAAGAGAGACGGTTACAACTGAAATGACGAAATTACCCCTACAATATTTTATTAAAAAATGAGTTAACGGTGAAATGCTAACGGAGCGAGCCGGAAAAATCATTTGTTAAAAGTTTTGAAACCACAGGGACCATCTTTGAGGTTTTTTGAACTCAGGGACTAAACATGATATTTTCGGAAACCACAAAGATCATTTTTGAAGTTATGAAATAGAGTATTAACGTAGTATTATTAATCACCAAAAGAAAACAAAATACTAAATAGAATGATAAAGAACTTAAGTAATGTTCATGGGACACGCTTTCTCACCCATGTGCATAAGTATTGATGTGTCTCGTCTGTTCCATTCTAAGCAATTATATATTTTTGATTATTCTCTTTCACTTCTTCAACAATACAATCAATAAAATACTAGGAAACTCTGAAAAGGTACTAAATTTATAAATTAACTATATTAATTAGAAATTGAGAATTCTTTAATCTTTAGTTTATGATTTTTATTTATTCAATGCTAATTCTTTCAATATATGTTTTTAATCACGAAATTGTAGAAAATGACAACACTACTATCATTTTCGTGACCATCCATATATTATAGTTATAAACACTTAAGATTTTAATCCAATAATTTATCACCCATGACACCTTGTTCCTTATCGTTATAGCAACAAGACACTTGGGGCCAAATAGAATTGTATCCAAACTCTCTAATACTTGTGCACATAAATTTCAATCTTCTTCTTTCAATTTTTGTCCTTGTTTTTTTTTTTTTTATTCAAGATGCATGATTGGGCTGCTCCGATCATATCTGCAGCGTTGTTTGCTCTTTTAGCTCCGGGACTCATTGTTCAAATGCCAGGAAAAGAATCATCGGTTGGTTTTATGAACATGAAGACTAGCATGATCTCCATGTTTCTACACACAGTTCTTTATGGTTTGCTTCTTATTTTGTTTCTTGTAGTCCTTGATATACATATGTATGCTTAGGTATTAATATTTACCCGAAGAAACCTCATCGTTTGTTGTTTTAATGGTGATTTACTTAATTACTTTCTTTTATTAGCCACTCGTTGATGGTTTTTTCTTATGTTATATGTAATTTACATGAATTTGGAAGTTTGAAATGAAATCAAAGTCTATTTCTACCTTTTTTTCACCACAAAAAAAAAAAGGAAATTGAAGTATTTAGTATTTAGAGCATCCATAATCATGAATTCAATGAAAGAGTTAAATGATGCTAAAAGGAAATTGAAGTTTCATTCATTCAATGAATGAAACTTGATTATTGTGAGATGTTACCTTGACATTCAATAAATTTGGAGTTAAATGAGAAAAGTAAAAGTTTTTAATTTTTACATATTTATTATAATATAATTATATTTTGTAACATTTCATTGAACTTTATAGAGTTTAATGTATTGTTGGGGAAAAAAAAGTTGTATAGATTATAGAAAGATAATATGATAATCCGTTAAACTATATGAAATTATTGTGGATACCCTTAGCTGCTTATGTGTTTTGGATATACTGCCATATGTTTGTCTTTCCGATCCAACTTTCAATTTTATTTTTGGATTAAAAGAATTGTTACATTATTTTTCTTTGTTTTTTAGTAAGAATATTTATTGTGTTAAATACTTAATTGTAAGTTGTTGTTTATTTGTTGACTAACAAAATTGTTGGCAACTTTCGGCCGTAATTCCCCACTTTTCACGTAGAAGTTGTTGAAATTTTATGTCGTTAGTCAACTTTACAGTGGAAAAGAATCGTTTGTAGTGCGGGAATCAGGAAACAGTTTGTTACATTTTTTTTTTTTTAAATTTATCCTATGTTTAATAAAGAATCGAGTTTGAATGTTTGATCCAATTTTTATTATTAATTTATTATATATGTAAAGCTTTGAATGTTTGGTGATAATTTAAGTTGTGACTTTAAATCGGATTCAAATTGGAATTATTCAATACTAACAATTTTGGGACACATTTAGGAAAATGCGACCCTTTTCCATAAGTATGCAAAATGATCTTGGGTTACCAAAAACTTTACACAAAATGGTCTATATGTCTTATAATGTCACAAAAATGATCCATGTCCAATTGAGATTTTATAAAAAAATATTATTTTGTTTTATAAAATTACATAAATAATCTATTTTTAATCAAAACTATAGAAATGGTCAATCTTTTTCCACAAACACGATGATATAACCCCTGGTTATAAGAAACATTACAAAAATAACGAATGTGTCTGAAAATGTTATAGAAAGGGTCCGTGTTTCATAAAACTATATGAACAGTCACTGCTTAAGCAAAACTATAGAAATGATCCATATGTTTCACAAAATTACAAGAATGATCCCTACTTAATAGCGAATTTACAAATGATATAAAAAATATATAATTAATAAACCGGTCGAAATCCCTCCCTACTAGAAAAATTATGACAATTGTCCCTTTTTTTAGTTTATTTCATAAAAGTACATATACGAGTACATATACGGTCACTATGCGTTTGATACAACTACAAAATGGTCGATGACTAATAGCAAAATTAAAAAATTGACCTTTTGTTTCACAAAATTTTAAAAATAGCCTTTACCTAATAGCGATATAATAGAAATCGTCCCTATGTTTTTGAAAATTACAAAAATGTCATTGTCTAATAGCAAACTTACACACTGTAAATTAGACCGTATGTGAAAAACTACATAAATTATGTCAAAACTATAGCATTAATAAACTTGTTGCTACACAAAAATAGACTCGTTTTCAATCATACAACTCATTTACTTTTTATGATTACATTTCCCAATTTCAATCAAATTGACATTTACATATAATTAAAATAAGGGATAATGATTTGAAAGGATAACGAAGTTTCGAATTTTTTTACATTTAATCACTAAACTTTTTTTCGTTATCTATTTGTTATTGAACAATTGAAACTGTTCACATTTTACCCTTATGACCGGCTGTTACCGGTCATAAGGGTAAATTGTGAACAGTTTCAATAGTTTAGTGGCAAATAGATAACGAAAAAAAGTTTAGTGACTAAATATGAACAAAATCGAAAGTTCGTTTCCCTCTAAAAAGTTCAATAACTAAATGTAAACAAACTTCCTCTTGTATTATGTTTTAGCAAATTATTTATTTTTGTTAAATTGTAGCAACATTTGTTTATGAAATTAAAAAAAAAAAAAAAACAAAACCCTGAAAATATATTTAAAAAAAACAAAAAACCAAAACCGAAATAAAAAACCAATGGTTTGACATTTTCCAAAATAAAAAATCAAAATTTCCAATCTGATTTTGGTTTTACAAAAAAATGAACCATTCTCATTGATGTGAATTATGACCATTGGTTTGACATACAGAATTTGTGACATCCCATGAATACGTAGTTATAACATCCTCTGAACTCGTAATTCATAGTAACGGGTTAGAGTATCATCGCATGAATACGTAGTTACAACATCGCATGAATTCGTAATTCATCACCTACATGTTATGGGCATGCTGGTGTTTCCACTGGGTTGTCTAGATTAGTCTGTGGTCGCCATCTATACTCTAGTAGATGACTACATCGCCACATTGCCGGTTAAGGTTATGGTATCTCCTTTCATCCTACATCACCTATTCATCATCATCTATTTACCTAATTATCATTACATTTCTATCATCACTTATATCTCATCATTTTATTTCACTACACACCAACTATTTCATTTACTCATGTTTCATCCGCAACATATTTGTATATATAAAATAAATATACCGTTTAAATCTTTTAAAACATGTATAAAATTGTTCCTCCAGCATAGACAGCAAGTATTCAAATAATATGCACACATAGCACGTAATTTATATAAAATACTTCATGTAACGACCCGTCTCTGGTATGTTGCTTTTATATTATTTATTTTAGAAGTTTGTAGAGGGACTTGATGAGTCTATGGCCCGACTCATCGAGTAGAGTCGTGATCTTGGGCAGCGTATAGATCGGCGACTCGGCGAGTCCATATTCGGGACTCGGCGAGTCGGCCTGCCAGGTAGAAACCCTAAATCCCCGGGTTTGCACCCTATTTAAACCATCTTATGAGCCCCCAAACTCGTCTCCTTCACCCTCAAAACATTATTTAGCAAACCCTAACCATTCCATTGAGTATTTGAGCATTTCTTGTGTAAATCTTGAAGTTTTGAAGAGAAGAAAGAGGCTAGATCCAAAGGAGAAGAAGAAGATCTAAGTTTTTGCACCCATTTCAGAGTATATTGAGGTAATAATCGGATTCCTCCTATTTTGATGATTGATTCTCCTTTATAAGCATATTTAACCCATTTTTTTAGCTTGTTCATAGTAGAGAAATCATGTTAGATTGATTAGCTTTTGGATCTAGCCATGTTTCAGTTCTAAAAACGTAGATCTATCAACTTTATGGAGCCATTTTGCATGATAGCCCTAGATCTACTCTTCCAAGTGCCCTTTTAGCCTTTATATCCTTTTGTATGCATATGTACACGTAAAGTTGGGAACTTTACGTGGTAAACCAGCCTTAGGAACTTAGATCTATATATTGTATGCAGTGGTTTTGAGCAGAATCGAGTTTTTAGTAATTGCATGCATGTGACTCGGTGAGTCGTTCTTCGGACTCGGCGAGTCGAGTCGTGAGTCCCCAATCCTTCCCCTTTGAGTGATTCTGAGTGGAGACCAGTGAGTGGTGGAATGGACTCAGTGAGTCGGAGGTTAGACTCAGTAATGGAGGGACTCGACGAGTTGTTCATACAACTCGGCGAGTCTAAGGCAATCTTCATAAATTTAAACAAGAACAACTCGTCGAGTTGTTCATACAACTCGGCGAGTCGGATGCAGATAGTCTGAGTTTTAGAATCAAATGGGAACTCGTCGAGTCTAAGCCATACTCGACGAGTAGCAGCAAACATGGTTAAGAAATGAGAGTATGGACTTGGCGAGTTGGCGGCCCAACTCGGCGAGTCAGGTCAACTGTAAGTTGACTTTGACCAGAAGAGTTGAACTTGACCAGGAGAGTTGACTTTAGCCAGGGGTAAAAGAGTCATTTTACCCCAATGCAGTTATTAGTATTTTCATTGAGTGTATTTGTGGAATTGTAGCCAGGGAGATACCGGAGCAGCAGCAGATAGCTTCCAGAGCCATACACTCAGCAGCCAGATCACGAGGTGAGTTTCCTTCCAGTCGGAACGGGTCTAAGGCCACAATGCCGGCCCGTATAGCTAGTAGTAGTTTTCGGACTTCAATCCGATGCATATTTTATTATGTTTGATGCCTTCGTGGCTCAGACAGGATTTATGTGTTATGTGTTCCGGGTTACAGTCTAATGCAGTATGCTGTTTATGTGTTCATGCTAGTTGATATGTTTATGTTATGCTATGATCAGTAGTTCCGGACTTCTGTCC